ATTAATTTACATTTTATAAAAAACTAAAAAAAACTCCCTCTATATGACTGATAAATAAATACACTGTACCACAAAGTAACCTTCGCCGCTGGCTGTCAAAACATCTCACCTCCCCTCTTAATCCTCCCAGACCAGGTGAAGGTGGTTTTAGGGTTGACGTTTTTATCTTATAAAATGTCACAGACTAGAGTTAGCAGAATATAACTTGCATTGCTGAAATCCTTGCAAAATAGCGAATAATTAGAATCTGGACATTACACACCTCAAATTAAGTGTTAAAATATTTCATTGTTTTTTTATTTATTATTGTACAGTACAGTATAAGCTGGGTTTACGCGGATATTTTATACGCGTTTGACCATTTACGCGGCACCTGTCCAGATGCGCCAATTATTAGTTACGTGGTACATTCCTTAATTTACACGGCAAGCGGCTGGTCGCTGACGTCAGACTTGTGCCGATGACATCGCGGACTGTGATTGGGCCACATATCCTTACCACCCACGCACCCCCTCCACCGAGCACTGTGATTGGTCTATTTAACCTTGCTTGCCCACGCCCAGTCAACAAAACATTATCGAGTTCTTCACTCGCCACCCACCACAGCCAGCCCAAGTCAGTGATAGTGAGGATATGGACTTTGAGGGGTTTGACAAGGAGGCCCTGCAAGCCTCTGTGGTGGATAGTGATATAGGTGATACAAGTGATACAGGTGAGTCTATGTTTGTCTTTGATACCCCCAAAATGTTCTACACTACTGAGGGTATACACAAACACTTGTTATCTTGAAAATAGGTTCTTATTCTCGTACGGGAGATATACAGAGGGAACAAATAGACAGTGGGCTTCCACACCATAAGGACGAGCGATCTCAACTCTAATAACAATAATAATAAACGGTTTATTAATAGAGTTGCAGCCTGTGGCTCAAAATATACAGACTTACATTAGATTTAGACATAATGATATAATATGCATTGAATACATTTACAGGGCTGTGCAGTACATAAATCAGGAGTTGTTTATTATTTTAACAATAGATGGGATGGTGCTGTTCTTATATCTATCGGTGCGGGCTCTTATGGGCTGAATTTTGTTGTAGTGGCGGACTGCGCGAGTTGGGTGGGGGGCTGCAGGAGGTGGCGATGGCGAGGGTGGTGCAGTAGTCCACGGCCAAACCTTTCCAGTGCTTGGTGGTGGAGGTCACTGAGGGATTGCATTTCCAGGGTGGAGAGAGCGTTGGTGTAGCCGGAGTATTCTGCGCTGGCATGCACAGATGCCAGCATTCACAAGCTGAATACATAATATGTAAATATGATAATTCACATACATAACATGGTGCATAATAAATGGAAATATTACATAGGATTAATACTTGTTCTGTAATACTTTACTATACATAATTAATAGATTAATATAAGAATACACAGCTTAAGGTACTACTTCGTGTCCATATTATACAGTGAGGGCCAATAATCTGCCCTCTGCCTCGGAACCAACCCCCCAATCTCGTGTGCCCAGCCATCTCTTCTAGTAACATAAGTGTTAAAAAACCTAATATTATTGATATTTCTCTTAAATATTAATTGTGTGTGCATACCATCATAAAATTAAGATGTTTTTTTTCTACAATGTACGTGTTGTGTCGGAAAAAGGGTAGTTTGGCGGTCGGCCCAGTCTCTATTTCAATTAATCTCATATGTTCTGTTATTTTATTTACGCGTTTCGCGTTATACGCGGACCTCCATGGGTTTAATTGACCGCGTAAACCCAGACTAGACTGTATACTGTACAGTACTGTATTTTGTTTATATTTAATGTTTTGTTAATTCTATTACCGGTATACAGTACAGAAGCTCCCTTACTTACGAACATTCAAGTTACAAACTTTCAGAGATACAAACAAACATGTCCAATTGCCCAATTGCCTGTTTGAAAACTGTGCCGGGTCATAAGTTCAACTGCCGCGCAATAGATGGCATTGGCTGTTCAGCGTCATCCTGTATCCCTAGCGCCATTGTTGTTGTGTTCCTCTGCTGCCTCACGGTTTTATTTGTGGTTATTTATGGTTTTGACGAATATTATTGACCCCAATATGTCTCAGAAGCGTAAGATGCCAATGGTGATGGTGGTAGTAAGAAGCGCCGCACTATTATTTTGAAAACTAAAGTTGACATTATAAAGCATTGTGGAAGAGGTGAGAAAATGATAAGGATAGCAAATGTTCTTGGGATGAATTGTTCGACTGTTGGGACAATTTTGAAGGACAAAGAGCGCATTATGTAACCTGTGAAGGTTCTGTGCCAATGCATTCCATGATCATCAGTAAGAAAAGAGATCAGTGATTGCAGAAATTGAAAAACTTTTGAGTGTGTGGCTGGAAGACCAGCATCAGCATCTCATGCCTATAAGCCTTAATTTAATTCAGCGAAGGCCATAAATCTCTTTGAAGACATAAAGGCTAAACATGGTGAGTGTTAATTTATTATTACTATACATGCTATTCATACATTAAAATACCGTTTAAGGCTTTTATTATTGGGGTATAGCTGTCTGTACAACCTTTTTTTACAATGCTGTGTACAGTATTCAGTATTGACAGGAGTAATGTTGGACTTACGAACAAATGGACTTACGAACAGACCTCAGGCACCTAACCAGTTCATAATTAGGGGAGCCCCTGTACTTTGTATGTACTTCTTAATTCATATTCATAAAGATTTGTTGCAAAAATATTAATGTGTTTGCTTACAAGGTGCTGCCACAGACCCCGCCAGGATGTTACCATAATATACGGTATGTTTACCGTACTACAGTTCTGAAATCTGAAAAATTCTGAATTCCGAAACACATCTGGCCCCAAGGGTTTCGGATAAGGGATTGTGGACCTGTATTATATTCTTGTCGTAAATTCGAATAAAATAACGACATAAATTGAATTGGGTTCTAAATTAACTCGGGTCTTAAATATGAATCGTCGTTAGAAGAACCGTCATTATCGTAGACTTTACTATAGTAAAGAAATGGAGTTTCTAACTTAATTAGAACTGCATTTTCAAACACCGGTAGTTAAGACTCGAGCAATACATCCCCACTTCCCAGAAATGCTCTGGGGAAGTGGATTAATGTCTGTATGTGCAAGATGTTTAGTTTAGACACTGAAACTTTTCCCAGTACGGTATCCGGAAAAGATTCCGGGGATAAAGAATTTTTCCGGGTTTGAAAAAGTCGTCGGGTTAGCCGGAAATCTCTCTTCCCCGGAAGTGCTCTGCACCAATTGTTCCAGCTAATGGGGATATCACTTATATTAAGATACAATACTGGAAAAAACTATGTTTAAGTGTGTAGCAGCAGAGAGGACATGGTGGAGAAGGTAGTGGGTGGCCCTCCTCCATCACCAGCCACCCACCGCCTCCCAACGGCATGGAATTAACCATAATTCCCATATTATTTAGCTTCACTTGGTGCCGAGCTCATAAAACATCAAAAATTATTAAATTTTCCCCCAAAATCCCACACTCGATTGCAGATGACCTATTATGCTGTAGTATATTCTCAGTCTCTTGTTTACAGAGAGGTAACACCTGACATCACTCTTCCTAATAATGTTGCCAGTACTCACCTTTTCTCAAGCACTGTTCGTTTCAGTGCTCAAGAGTGTTGGTAATTACCACAGGAACTGTCTTGAGTACAGTACTTAGTAAACAATATTGTAGCATATTTTTCAGAACTTAATAAATATTATTGTAGTGTATAATGTGTCTTCATATGCCCTGGTTTCTTCGCTGATTAGTTGTCTTGGTGCAAACGTAGCCATATGGTGCCATCATGTATGAATTAATTTTAAAATAGAAATTATAAATTATAATGTTATAATACAGTCGTTTAGTAATGTTATTAACTTGTGTGCTGTGTAGGTGTCTTGTCACGTCACGTCACTTCACCTACTTGTATTGCTTCGAAGGTTGTTTGGCCACTCACCTCCGCAGTTTTCAGGAACCACCAAAAAATATAAAATCCTTTTCTCGGCTTTTGTCGCCCTTATGGAATTATGGTTAGTCTGTTAAGATTTTCTAAAGAAAAAGTTGTGATATAGCACAAAACATTTCGCCAAAAATATAAAATTTATTTTGTGTGGATCCTGGTGGTACTTAGCTACATGGTGGCTGGTAGGTAGCCCGGCTCGCCTCTGTAGTTGCCAGGAACCACAACAACAATGGCACTGCTCAGTTTGAATTCTTTCCCCAGTTTGTGTTCAGTTATACATCTGTGTTTCTTTGTACTCTTATTCAAGAGGGTGGAAAAAGATCATCAAGGTCAAGTGAAAGCAGTGGGGATAAAAGATTCCATAAATGAATTGCATTGGTCATTAAACTTGATGTTTTTGGGAGGTATCTCCCAGTATCTCTGATCGCATCACCTCAATTCACCACCTCATGCAGCATTCATCATTGTTTCTGGTGAGTTAAATTCAAGTGTGTGCATTTATTGCCATGTTATATCATGAATGAATCATTGTATGTGTCTATTTTCATTTATATATGTGCTTGTGTTACGTTTTTGGACCAAAACAATTTTCCTTGGGAATGCATCTCAACTTATATAATGGGAGTCAATGGGAAAAATGGTTTCGCTTTACAGAATTTTGCGTTGCGGAAAGATTTTCAGAAACGGAACCATGCCGTAACCCGGTGGATGCCTGGTGGTTTTGCAGTCCTTATTTGTGGCTGGGTTTGTCAGAAGAGCAGGTTGTACATTTGCTCTGCATCTTCTCAACTCATCTGGTCTTCATCTTCAGTGGTATCTTATGGATCTAATACCCATTTTCAAGTGCTATGGTTACCATAGGAGGTATGGTTGACCATTGGATTAGCACTAGCCATGCTGGTTTTGGGTTCTATAGGTTCCATAGGTTCCATGTTATTTTATTTTCATTGTTACATATATCATTTATGTATAAATACTATAAAAATCTCAAGTGTTGTAAAATTCTTTTATAGCAACAAAAGGGAGCCGCAATAAAGCTGAAATGACTGTACCTGATCGAGCTTCTGTATTTCTGGAGTTGTGTGATGCTTACCGACTAAACAATCAACCCAATGAAGCAGCCACCATCATGACTCAAGCCATGACAGAATTCCAGGTAACATATTTTTTTTCCTAATAGTAAAATATTCAATACAGTAAACTCTTTAATATCAGCCTCTTAACAATGGGACATTCTCAAGCTACAGTAAAACCTCGCTAAGACAGACCCCGCTAAGGCGGACCCTGCTATGGTGGACCCCTCTTAAGCTGAACAAAATTATTTGGAAAAAAAGAAGAAAAAGGCCGTTAAAAAAAAAACAGTTTCTCTGATAAAGTCCAGAATGCGTCATATAGCTTTATACCTACATGTGTAAATGTCTAGCATTAACTCGCTAGGCCAACATACAGGCAATTAAAACATCTAATAATACTTAAATACGTAATATTAGGAGGACACATCGCTACCTGGCATTTAATTGCAATTCTCAAAACCCCCTCCCGCACCCTCGATCACACGCATTGTTACCGTCATCTCTTGCCCTAGAACGAGCAGTAAACAAATGTCAACTCTCGAGGGGTGCAGATGTGTGGGATGTCGACGTCGCATTCTGGACTATATCACAAAAACTGGTTTTAGAAAAGAACGGCTTTTTGTTCAATCCAGAATGCGACGTCTAGCTTTGATTACCCGATCAGGAGGTGGAGAAGGTGACATTGCGTATAAGGCTCCCCTAGCTTAGGTCCTGATTATAATTATAAACTTTTTGGAATATTTTCCAGTATTAGGAACATTTACCGGAAGGTAAAATGTTACTTTACATATCACAATTAGGATACTCACTTTACTCTGACGAGAAAGAAGAAGGTCCTGGTTGTGGAGATTGACTACCGTATATCTTGGCCTACAAGGCGACGGGGTGTATATGATGACCCCAAAAATTTTCATTTTAAAAGTTGGTTTTGAGCTCTATTCGCTGTATAAGACCGGTACCCCAAATGTGACACTTACCATTGGGAGCTTACTGACCCAGTAGTCCTTTACCAACCATCCCATTGACCAGTGCTGTTTATACATCCTTGGTTTTTTAAAATAAGGCCAATGCACTTCAAGTAATGTCATCAAATGTTACCGGTTGGTGTAGTGTAAACATTAGTGACGTCACTTAAGCGTCTGTTATTTAACTGGAACTAATGTCGGTGTCGAGTAAAATTTTTCCATAAACTTGAAATGGATTTACCGATTTATTTGTTTATTTATTTATTTATAATATACTGAAATATGTTAAACACACTGCAAGTATTTTCTTTAATTTACAGTGACCCCTTGGTTAACGAACTCAATCTGTTCCAGAAGGTCGTTCGTTAACCGAAAAGTTCGTTAACCGAAACCATTGTTTCAATGGGTTTTTGGGTAATTGGTTCCAGCTCACCGAAAATTTCCTAAATTCAACAAAAATGGTAGAAAAGTTCACTTACTTTGAGGTGTGTATGTAGAAGGCTCCTGGATGATGATGATGGGAATTAGAATGGGGGTGGAGGAGAAGGAAGAAGAGAAGGCATTGGGGTGGAAGAGAAGTCACCCCATGGCACCATTTCACCCATAAAATTTTAGTTCTCTTGGTGTAAGTCAAGATTATTTTCTTTAAATCAACACTGCACTGCATTATATATTGTCAATATGTAAAATATATTTCAAAATGACCAATAATTTGCTTGGAATCACAGAAAAAAAGCGTTTAGTTGAAGAGAGTCTCAAGCAAGATGTTACCTCCAGTGAAAACAGAGAGAGACTAACGCCTGTTTGCTGTGTTAAGAGGCTGGATGCCGTGCATTAAACTAGTCACTTTACCTTCAATTATGTTCAATAATTGTTAAAATGACTAAAAAATTGAATATTAAACTTTTAAAATTATTGAATAGTATAAACTTCTTGATATTTACTAAAATAGTAAGGAATTTAAGCCCTAGAACCGATTAATGTATTGGCAGACTGATACTAAAGCTGGTTGCCCGGTCAGTGCAAGCAAAAACATGTTGAGGTCGGTTCGTAAGAAATTCGTTAACCGAATTTTTGTTCGTTAACTGGATTGAAGATCCATATGGAAGGCAGTTCGTTAACCGAAATTTCGTTAACCGAGGTGTTCGTTAAACGAGGGGTCACTGTATAAGCTTGTTTCGCGAGACGATCGGTGGTGGGACTGTGGTCCGAGTGTTTACACCAGCTACCGTATTCTAATTCAGTAGTGTTTCATTAGGATTTGAGTGAAAAAGATGAAGTACTTACTACATACATTTATTACGCAAACATATATATATATATATATATATATATATATATATATATATATATATATATATATATATATATATATATATATATATATATATATATATATATATATATATCCGAATCCATAGTTTCAATGGGTTTTTGGGTAATTGGTTCCAGCTCACTAAAAAATGCCTAAATTCAACAAAAAAGGTAGAAATGTACACTTACTTTGATGTGTGTATGTAGAAGGCTCCTGGATGATGCTGATGTGAATTTGAAGTGGGAGGTGGAGGAGGAGAAGGGAGAAGAGAAGGAAGTGGAGGTGGAGGAGAAGCATTTTACTGCTTCTTGGATGGTGAGTCACCTTCCATGAAAATGTCAGGAACCTCTGGACTGACAGATTCTCCACCATGAACATCCTCTCTCCTTCTTGAAGTGGAAGGCTGAGGGCTAGCATCATCCTCTCTCCTTGAAGTGGAAGGCTGAGGGCTAGCATCTTGTTCCCTCTGCCTTTTACTGAAGAAAGTGTCAATTGTGGTCTGTGGGGCATCTGTCCTCCTCACCATTAACTTATGTTTAAAGAAGGAGACCACTGAGTCCTCAACATGACACAAAGTTAGTTCAGTTTTTCCACTTCTGGGTGCTTTGAAGCCAGTTCCCTGAACTTCTCCCAGTGGTAAATCACATCTTTCAACTGTGTAGCTGACATATGGTCATCACTTTCAATTTCCTCCTCACCACTGTCAGCCTCTACCCGTAACATCTCATCCAGTTCCTTCAAGTCATTAGGAGTAAGTTCCTCCTCATGAGACATCACAAGCTCTTCCACATCCTTCTCCTCCACTTCAAGACCCAATGACTGACCAATGGACACAATCTCCTGGTCCAACTCTGTGTCATCCTCAAATCCCTCAAAATCATGGACTACTGATGGCCACAGTGCTTTCCATGAAGAATTGAGGGTTCTATTGGAGACTTCTTGCCATGATGACACAATCAATTTTACAGCCTCCAGGACGTTGAATTGTGTCTTCCAGAACTGTTTCAGTGTTAGTTCAGGATCAATGGAAGTTGCCTGATGACACCTCCTAAACATTTTCTTCATGTACAACTTCTTGAAGTTGCTGATCACATTCTGGTCCATTGGCTGTATGAGTGATGTAGTGTTTGGAGGCAAAAACAACACTTTCACAAAGTCAAATTTATACTCCAAATTTCTGGCAAGGTCAGGGTCATGACCAGGAGCATTATCCATGAGGAGAAGAGCCTTTAAAGGAAGTTTATTGGTGGTTAGGTAGCTCTTGACAGAGGGGCAAAACACATCAATAGCCCATTCATTAAAGAACTGTCTTGTCACCCATGCCTTACGGTTGGACTTCCAATAAACTCCAAGCATTGTTCTTACCACTTTCTGTTGCTTGAACACCCTGGGGTTTTCAGAGTGGTAGACAAGCATAGGCTTCAGTCGGAAATCCCCTGAAGCATTGGCACCAAGCAATAGAGTGAGACGGTCTTTCATGGGTTTATGCCCAGGTAAAGAGGCTTCATCCTTGGTGATGAATGTTCTTTTGGGCATCTTTTTCCAGAACAGCCCAGTTTCGTCAACATTGAACACTTGCTGTGGAAGATAATTTTCTTCTTCCATCAGTTTTTAAATTCAATTAAAAACTTTGCTGCCCCTTCTTTATCAGCACTAGCAGCTTCACCATGCCTAACAACACTTAAAATGTCACTTCTTTTCTTAAATTTTTCGAACCAGCCTTTGCTAGCCCGAAAATCTTCAAATTCTGTTCCTGAAGAACCAGGTTGATCTGTCTTTAAATGTTCATAAATCTCCCTGTCTCTTTCACAAATGAAATCACCAGAAACTGAATCACCTTTCATCTGTTTTTCCCTAATCCAGATGATAAGTAACCTCTCAGTTTCTACGATTAGGGATCTACTTTTAAACACTCTTGTAGATTTGTCTCTCACGTTCACTTCCTTAAATTTGTCTTTTTGTGCAAGAATTGTCGACACAGTTGATGCCGACATGCCATATTCTTTGCATAGCGCATTTGATTTAATACCTTGTTCGTGTTTTTTTATTATTTCCTGCTTCATTTGGATTGAAATCACTTTTCTTGATCTCTTAGGCCCCATGCTGGATTCAAACAATGGCAACACGTATTTTTCAAAGTTAAACTAGCTGTAAATAAAGAATATTTTCTTTAAAATAACACTGCACTGCACTATATATTGTCAATATGTAAAATAATTTTCAAAATGACCAATAATTTGCTTGGAAACACAGAAAAAAAGCGTTTAGTTGAAGAGAGTCTCAAGCAAGATGTTACCTCCAGTGAAAACAGAGAGAGACTGACGCCTGTTTGCTGTGTTAAGAGGCTGGATGCCGCGCATTAAACTAGTCACTTTACCTTCAATTATGTTCAATAATTGTTAAAATGACTAAAAAAGTTAATATTAAACTTTTAAAATAATTGAATAGTATAAACTTCTTGATATTTACAAAAATAGTAAGGAATTTAAGCCCTAGAACCGATTAATGTATTGGCGGACTGATACTAAAGCTGGTTGCCCGGTCAGTGCAAGCGAAAACATGTTGAGGTCGGTTCGTAAGAAGTTCGTTAAGCGAAATTTTTTTCGTTAAACGAATTGAAGATCCTTATGGAAGGCAGTTCGTTAATCGAAATTACGTTAACAGAGGTGTTCGTTAAACGAGGGGTCACTGTATATATATATATATATATATATATATATATATATATATATATATATATATATATATATATATATATACATACATATGCATACAGTACATACATACATATATATATATATAT